TTTGAGTTGGGGGCAATGCGACTAAAACAGTAATTGAAATTCAGGACACTATTTTTTAAAACGCGTTGCTTGAATAAAACTAACCAGACACATTCAATTTACCAGACTATTGAACAACTAGGAAAAGTGAAAAAAATACTTCTTATCGCCAGCATAAATGCGTAATTATTTTTTTTACAGAAAAAGTAATTTTTCAACTTTGATTGAGTAACGCGTCGTAGATTGCAGATACGGGCATGCAAAATACACTTGTGAAAAGCTTGAAGTTAGGCGATTCTAAAAATATATACTTTCCCAGGTCTATTTGTAGTCATTTAGTCACAATTAGAAGATGAAAACAAGTATGCAAATAATAGTCTCGCTACCTTAAATAAGCTTTTATTCAGCAGCATTTTGAGCTATTGCATCATACAGAGTTAGTGCCCAGGCTACTCAGTTCCAAAAGTCACTTTTTATAAAGGGTGGGTGCTTAGTCTAGCCCCCCCCCCCCTCAAATATCAATATGACAATTTAGGTTCTCCATATGCCAGGCTTGAGAGAAAATTATGTCCCTAGGAAAATAAAACATTGTGGAATTCAATTTCCCACATGCCATAGAGTTTTTCTGTATGTGATAAAAGTTATTGAATATCAGGAATCTGAATACATTCAATGTTGGTAACTCCAAATAAAGACAATTTTCCATATTGGAACATGTATAGATACACTTCAAATGAGTGCAGATAACTTCAGATGCAGATAAACAGTACATTAAATTGTTTTTTTTATGCTAGATGTATGATAATTTCCTGTATGTTTTATATTTATCTATGCTCAACATCATTTATTTATTGAATAATTCTGTGTAGATCAGCTAAGCTGTTTCAATGTACATGTATTAGTGAAACAAATCATAAGTATTACATAATTATTCAATATTTGTTTGCAATACAAAAATAATATACCTGGGGGTATTATAATATATCATGTATGACATTTTGGAGGCATGCCAGGGATTGAAATCAAGGTTTTATTCATGGGACCATTTTGTGAAGAATTTAAGGGAGTCAGTGAATTAGGTTTTATAGTTCAATGACAGAGAGGATGTTATAAACATTTAACATTCAGTAATTATTTTCCAGGGAACATTGATATATTACCATTGCAGGAAGCAATTATTCATCCAAATCCACCTATTATGTCAATGCTTAATATATTTTTCAATAATCACTATGTCATATAATAGCAGAAATTAAGTTTGTTTCAGGAATTTATATTGCTGATTTCCCTTGAGTGCCTAGTACTGTAAACTATTTTATTTTCACTTGGAAGTTATTTTCGCTTAAGGGAATAATTCCCTTAATTCAGTGAAAATAAAATCTGGTGAAAATACTGAACAAAACTCAAAGAGAATAAATGTATACAAAACGGCCAAAATGTCTTTCCTGCGAAAAAAAATTCTAGGAAAAATAATTTAAAAGTATTTTACAGTAGATTTTACAGTTAATCTCATTAATTATAGTGACTGTAATGGCTTGTTTTTGCCCTTTAGCTTGAAATTTAAATAAATTGCAAATTGGACATGATGATTTTTTCCTTTGAGCTTGGAAGGATATGATTTTGCAATTAGCTAGGATTTCTGTTTGTAATCTTAACATTTGTAAACTGTTTATGTTTTTTAACCCTTTTAACACGAAAGTAAACTTTCGGCACACTTCACAAAATAAACCTTGATTAATTTTTTGTATTTTTTCCACAATTTGATCAAGACTTATAGTCAATGCAAAATTATGCTCATTTGGGTCAAAATTACCAACATTTTTATTTTTTAAAAAAAGTACTATGTTTCAAAGGGTTAAACATTTTTGTATTTCAAAAATTTGAGGAAATTCTCTGCTCTGACTCCCTTTCTGAAATCATCACTGCTGCTACAAAATTTTGTAATTTTTTCTGACTCACGGGAATCTGTGCCTAGCAAAATTTATGCAGTTTACTTTACGAAGTACATGATATAATTGTGTATTCTTGAGTCGTAGATGGATACGGTAATAACAGTGGATGACATGGTTATTTTCTTTGATTCATTGTTGAGTCTGATGAATCTTCCACTTGAGTGATCTCTCTGAGTTTCATTGTAAATGCAACATGCATCTTGAAATATTCTACTATGACTTGTCAGCTGTAACATATATCATGCTAGTACATGAATGACCAAATGTGTGATATGTTGCTTTCAATGACATGGGTATATTGAACTTAATAAGTTATTACGTCATTAACAACTGATATATCAGAAACATCATCTTTAGAATACTGTTTGTTTTCTAATTTACGCATCACTTTTAAATATTTTGATTTTTGAAATATTCAATAATTCCTGATGCCTGAATTTGAGTACAATTTAAGTTTTTTGTAGTCACAGGCGCTTATTCAAGAATATAATATTTTATTGTGACTAGCATGAACGACAATAAGATTTTATCACCAGGAAAAGTGTTAAATACTTTTCATTCTTCAGTTTTCAGTGCATCTTTCAAAAATTACTATCGATAATTTCCCGTTTTTTTTTGTCTTGTTTTTTTTAAATATGCATTTTTTTCAAAAATCAAAACTGTAATGTGTTTTTCACAACATTTCTATGTACTATTGTGTGCGTTCCTATAATAAACTGTCTGCTATGATTTCAATTATCTGTGATTAATTATAGTTGAATTCTCACCTATGATGTTTCAGTCTATTGTAGGTACATGTAGGTGTAAAAGTGCATTTTGAGCCATTTGTTCATAAGCTATAGCTATATTTATGCAGTGAAACTTATCTGTTTTTAAGGTTATAACTATCAAGCTTGTGTATGCGTTGAGCATACCATTTACAGTCTCATTATAAAAAAAATAGCTGTTTATATTGGGTGCCTACGTGTGAATTTTCAATTCTGCCAACTTGATTATCCTAATATCGCAAGTTGTTATAAAGAGCAATGTGTTATGAAAAAAGCACCTGGGATTCTAATATAATTTCAGAATTTACAGGCCACTGAGTGTCCATTCTATATTTCATATTCATTGTACTTGCTATACTGCTATATATACGGCTTAGTCACAGTTACAAATAATCTGGAAAATGCTAGGAGTTGCACATTTGTATAATGCTTTCTCATTCAGAATTCTGTAATTTTTTAGAGATGCTTTACATTTACTCCATATTTGATGTTCTGTTCTTTTCCCAGTCACCTTTATCAGTGGATCTAGTCCTTAATTTATCTCAGGATGGTATAAGATTACTATTTGATCCTGTTGTACAAAGACTTAAAGTAAGTATTGTTTAAAATTTAACTTCAAAAATTCAGATAAAACATTATATAATTAAATATGATGTACCTGTATAGACTTTACGTAATGAACTAAATGTAGGTCTCTATGTTCTTTACCAAATTAAATTCCCTTCTTATCAACAATATGGGAATATATTACCAAAAAATGTTTCATTTTTGTTAAGACGCAAACAGGGACTTATGTTTTGATCTTTGTGTGTCAGTGTGTCCATGCGTCCTAGCTGATTCAAGGTGGCCGAATGGTGGTCATTTTTATGCTGAAAAATCGTCAAAATCAAGCATTTATGGATGGATTTTGTTTAAACTTGGTACATACGTTGGACATTATTGATTTTTTCAGGTCCAAATTACAATGGCCGACTAGTGGCCATTTTGTTTTAATGAATGCAGTTCTAGTGCCATATCTCCTGTCATGCTTTGACTGATTACATAAACATATTGGTTTGACTATCTGATTCAAAATGGCCAAATGGCAGCCGTTTTTGTGCTAAAAAATCAAGCATTTCTGGCATTCCAGAACTGGATCTTGGCATTTATAGATGGATTTTGTGCAAACTTGGTAAATACGTTGGACATTATGGGACCTTGATGCACATCATTTTATTTTTCAGATTCAATTTAAAATGGCCGCATTTTGTTTAATAAATGCAGTTCTAGTACCATATCTCTGCCATGCTTTGACTGATTATAATCAAATTTTATATATTCATTATACATCATGACAAAGATATATTGGTTTGACTATCTGATTCAAAATGGCCAAATGGCAACCATTTTTGTGCTAAAAAAATCATCAAAAATCAAGCATTTCTGGCATTCTAGACCTGGATCTTGGCGTTTATGAATGGATTTTGTTTAAGCCTGGTACATACATTAGAGATTATGGGTTGCTGATGTACGTCATTTTATTTTGCAGATCGGATCAAAATGGCTGACTGGCGGCCATTTTTCTTTAAATGAATGTGCTTCTGATATGCTTTGACTGATTATGTTCAAATTTTATATATTCATTTTACATCATGTTTTAGATATATTTTGTTTTAATTAATGCTGTTCTAGAGCAATATTTCTCAATATGGAGTATTGTAGTTGAGTAAAATGATATTGAATTTTAACTTCTGCAGAATAGTGCTCAAGGGTGGATTTAATCAATATTATAGTGCTTTATTTGACCCGAGATGTTCACTCATCCAACCTTTATTTTGGTGTATATTTGTTATTTATTATCATAGTTCTGTTACTCACTGTCTAATTGTGATCTGAACAGATTTTGGGAAGTTTGATAATAAATTACATGGCTTTAAACTTCACATATGCATCAAAAGCCTATTGCCTAGACGCCTATCAATTTGGCCTGGCTCTGAAGCTAGGTGCCTTCTAAAATGAGGAATTCAAGTCTTGGTGAATTCAACTTTGAATTGTTAAAACAATGTTGTTATTGATAAATTAATCTTTTTTTCCAAATTTTGAACTCCATAATATACCGATATTACATACACTTACACTTACAGTTTACTTGTTATTACATTATACTTTCACTGTTTCAGTGCTACCGGTATTTTCACTTTTGTCTCTTCTTTAAAGTAAACTTGCTCATAGTCTTTTTGATTAAAGTTGAATAATATTGGTATTATGTTTGTTTGAACTTGCAGAGTATACATAAATATTTTGGCAAAATAAACAATTAAAATTGAGAAATTGATATACATTTACTATGAAAATGAAATAACAAGTTAATAACATCAATGTATCATCATTTGGTGCATCTTCAGTTCTTTTATGCCATACATGTATTTATTCAGTCTATATATCATGTATGAGTTTGTATATCAACAGACTTCATATATACATACAGGCATGGCCTTCAGTGGCAGAAGTACATCATTGAAATTAATTGATGAGTTATAATTTAATTTTTTTTATTTCAACAGATTATTGAAGTATATAATCTTAGTAAAGTAAAATTGAAATATTGGTAAGTTTATAGTATTTTCATTTATCTCACCTATTTCACACTTTTTGAGTAGTTTCCATGTTTTGTTTTATGATGACACAGACAAAAGTAAAGTTTGATAAAAAAAAATAGTGATAATTATGACAATGTATGGGATTTATGCGTTCAAATTCATTTGATAAATTACAAAAAAAAATATTTTAGTAGAAGATTAAAAATTGCTTTATGTCCTTAAGCAATTTATTTCTGCATGCTTATCAGATATTTATGTATTAGATTGTGATTGACGTAATTATTTACCAGCATTATGCTTCACAAAAAACCACACCAGCAACTGTGTCCAGCAACATCTGCGTCAGTAAATACATTTTGTTTGGATAACTTTGCCATTTATCATATAGCAATTTACACGATTGCATGAAATAAATTGAAAAGTATTTGCATCATGATCTTCTATTTATATTTAACATGTCTGAATCCCTCACTGTTAAATGTCTTCTGTTAAGGTTGGTTTGACCCAACTTGTTTTATTCCCATAACAATCCTGAGACACGCATATCAAAGCAAACTTGGTTGGAAATGTTGCTGTTTTGCTGTTCAGAAAAATATTCTGCTGACAATAATAGAAGATAAAAACACATCATTCTGTGGTATCTTTCATTATCTTGCATTCTAAAGTCCCTCTAGACATATGCATTGTGTATCAGTGGAATCATTAATTATTCATCCTGATCAAACACCTTTCTCTTCTTTTCAGTGGTGTTCATTTTAATTCTCCGCAAGTAGTTGCATCAATAGAACAAATTGATGTCTCATTTGGAGCCACACACCCTGGAGTATATGATTCTGCTCATCAGCTTTTTATTCTCAACTTTCGAGGCCTTTCTTTTTCTTTTCCCATTGATTCCAAATTTGAGGTAAGATTCATTAATTGTGTAGTAATACATAGCCGTTTCTGCATTATTCACAAAAATGACCATGGTGTGAATGTTTTGATTATAATTTGTCAAATAACTTGATTTGATTATGAATTGATTTTATAAATGTACTAGTATGTCAAGACATTAATTTGAACTGTTAAAGTATGGCCCTAGTCTATGTTACAGGTACACTTAATGAATGAAAAGATCTCAACTAATGTCACCATTCATTTACAATTTAAGCAGTATTTACTAGGGTCAGCATTAGTCATACATGTAGGTGCACTTATGTTCAAGGTGTTTTTCAGTATTATGGGAACATTCACACCGCAGTTCATACCAGGATGCTTGTATGTTCCAAGTAAATGCAATTTACACACTGTATTTTTTTCCAGGATTGCATTATTAAAACTGATGATTTATAAGATATTGACAAACCAATCCAGTTGAACATATTCCACGTTTGAGATATTCTTTTTATTTTTTCAGCCTCACTATACACATGGTTTTTTAAGTTCATTGCAATTTCCTAATGGTGCCTCACCTGTAGTATCACGTATGTGTATTTACACTGGTAATAGTTTAACTGATACAAAGTAAGTATCAAGTTTTAATTAGTCCCAGAGAACTTCTCTAAGTAATCTCTCTGGGACTGTTAATTTTGCAAAGTATGTTCTTTTCCCTAATAATGTGAATTTGATGACATTTGATTTCCCTGGATGTACATGTACTTTGGCTGATTGGCACTGTGGCTACATTTTCAGCACATGCACGTTTTAAACAGACAGAAAAAAAACAGCTGCTTGCTCATTTGATAGTGCAACTTGAATTTGAAGGTAGATTGTTGATCAGATCCATTGGTTTGTTTATCCTGTCTCGCTCCCAGCCAGATAGAAAGAATACTGACATGGGTTTAAATCCTTACCAATATTTAAGTTTCACTTTACAATAAACCTTTGATTTTTAGTGCTAGAAATGATGTTATGAGTAAAGGGTGTTAGTGAAAGTCACTGTGAGTCACTTTTAAAGTATCTTTCAAATTGGATCCATATCAAACACATAGTAGTGTGGTGACTGTGGTGAAATGTTGACTGTGCTACATTATATTCTGAATTTCATTGACTTGCAATATTCATAAAACTTAAGGCAGTATACTTGAACTGTCTAACATCAGCCAATCTATTTATCCGTCCTCTCAGTCAGTTACATGTGTTTCTTTGTTTTTTTACTTCAGGCCACCACCAATGCCTTTGAATTGTTTCCATGGCAATGTGTATACTGAATCTGTTATGGTTTTGTTTAACCATGATACATGTGTACCAGAAGGGCTGAAATTTATTCTAGTAACAGAAGGTAATTAAATAGTTTTCTTATAAAACTTTGAATGTGTTCATTTTAATAATTTTCTACTGTATTTAAGGCAGTTCTAGCCAATTTCCTTTTTTGCTCTATGCAATGTGTTATGGGAGATAACCTCCCGGGGTATATAATGGATAACTATTATCACCCTGATATTTTCGACTTCTTGTTAAAAACCGCAAGTCCAATTGCTTTGATATAACATATATAGGTACTACATGTGGACCTCTCCCAGGTTTGTTCATTTTGCGATGATATCTTTAATTCTCTAATTTTGGTGATTATTTTTGTCATTTTTGGTAAAAAGTGATATTTTCGACTTCTTGTTAAAAACCGCAAGTTCGATTGCTTTGATATTACATATATAGGTACTACATGTGGACCTCTCTCAGATTTGTTCATTTCGTGATGATATATTTAATTCTCTAATTTTAGTGAATATTTTTGTAATTTTTAGTAAAAAGTGATATTTTTGACTTATTGTTGAAAACCACAAGTCCGATTGCTTTTATAATACGTATATAGGTACTGCATGAAGACCTCTTTTACATATGTTAATTTCGTGGTGATATTTTTAATTCCCTAATTTTGGTGAATATTTTTGTCATTTTTGGTAAAAAGTGATATTTTCGACTTCTTGTTGAAAACAGCAAGTCCAATTGTTTTTATAATATATATATAGGTACTACATGTAGACCTCTCTCAGGTTTGTTCATTTCATGATGATTTCTTCAATTCTCTAATTTTGATTAATATTTTT